AGAAAACACTGACACTGTATATTGAACTTGTTAAGACTCTCTCTTCCTGTTATGAGTAACAGAAAGCCAACTTAAATGGCTGCAAGCAATAAAGAGAATTCATTGATTCACATAACTGACTGTATTTGTCCACTTGGGTTGCATAACAAAATATCATAGTCTGGGAACTTAAACAACAGAAATTATTTCCTCATACTTCTGGAAACTGGAAGTCCAACATCAAAGCATCAGCAGGCTTGGTGTCTGGTGAGAGTTCTCCTGGATTGCAAACAGTTGCTTTTTGGCTATATCCACACGTGGTAGAGAGAGCTCTGGTGTTTGTTCCTCTTCTTATATGGGCACAAGACCTATTGGATCAGGGTACAACTCTTAAGACCTCATTTAATCTTAATTACCTCATTACAGGCCCTATCTCCAAATATAGTCACAAGGGGTGTAGGGCTCCAATATATGAATTAGGGAAACATAATGCAGTCCATAGCACTGACTGTTAGAACCTGACTTCTGAGAGACTACCATCTTGGTTGTTCATCTACCTATGTAGCTATTCCTTTTTGGTCTCCTTTGTTGGGTCATCTTTAATTTCCCAATATCTAAACACTGGAAGATCCAGAGTTTAGACCTCAAGACTATTTTCGTTCCCCAAGTGATTTCATGCCTTCCCACGGCTTTCAATACTATTTTATTTGCCCTTGGCTCTTCAAACTGCCCATATGACATTTCTATTTGAGTGTTTCACAAATATGGTAGAGGTAACATGCTGTCAGATATCACTTTAATTCATGATGACTAAACTTAAGTAGGCCCTTAGTTTTGTTGGACTTCATATTACACTTCTCTGATAATTTCTGCTCTTTATTTTCCTGGATGACTATTTCACATTGTCTCTCCTCATACCTCTGCCACTTCTTCTAACCTCTCTCTTAGCCTATACTTCTAATTTCTACTTCACGGAGAAATTGGAAGTCACAGAGAACTTGCACAATCTTGTACTACCATCATAGCCCACCTAGCAGTACCTCAACCATTGACTCTACCTTTTCTTCTGCTTCAATAGATGAATCATCCATGCCGCTTTCTAAAACCAGTCATTCTATATTACTGTTCCATCACTGCTATAACTAATTAACAAAAACTTTATTCTTGAATCCGTAGGTAAGCTTGCCTAAGTATTCTGCTTAGAGTCTCACAAGACTGAGAACAAGGTGTCAGCAGGGCTGTGCTTCTTTCTCAAGGCTCAGGGGAAGAATCCCTTTCCAAGTTCATTCAGGTTGTTGGCAAAATCCAATTCCTTGCAGCTGTGGGTCTGAGGTGACTGTTTTCTTATTGGCTGTCAGCTGGGGGCAGCCCTTAACTACTAGAGGCCTCTCTCTCTGATCCGTGCACATGGGTCCTGCATTTCGAAGCCAGTAACAGCACGTTGAATAGTTCTGATATTTGAAATTTCTCCAACTTCTGCTGCTGCTGCATCTCTCTTCCACTTTCAGCTAGAGAAAATCCTCTGCTTTTAAGGGCTCATGTGATTAGATTGAGCACGCCCAGATGATCCAGGACAATCTCCTTCTTTTAAGATCAATAACCTCAAATATATCTGCAAATTCCCTTTTGCCATGTAATATAACATATTCATAGGTTTCTGGGATTAGAGTGTGGACATCTATGGTGGACCATTCTGGGTATCATACACTTCATTTGTGTTCTAACAATTTTCTCTTCTCTCTTCCATAGCACTAATATTCCTCTCAACGGGATCATTTTTTTCAGCATGCAAAATGCTGATATTTCTACCATGTTAAAAATGCTCCCCTGACTCCACTGTCCCTTCCAATTACTACCTCATTTCTCTTCTCTCTTTGGGAAAAACACCTCGATAGAATTGCCAATACTGTCTGTTCCCAATTCTTCCTCCATTCTCAGTTGATTTTTCACCCTTTCTACTGTACTGAACCTGATTTTGTCAAGGGTACAAATGACTACACATTCTGAACTCCAGGATCAATTCTCAGTCTCCATCTAACTTTCATTTTACAAAGCTGAAAATGGAAAATTTCATTCGGTTTCCAAGGTATCACCCACTCAGGTTTTTTCCTACTTCTTGGAGGTTCTTTTTCAGTCTCCTTCACTGATGCTTATTCTAACTACCTAATCTTGGACAGCCTAGAGTTTTTCATCCGTACTCATTCCCTTCATAATCTCATTCAGTCTCATGGCTTTAAATACCATGCATATAAAATGACTTCCAAATTTATATCCATAATCCCATACTGTCCCCTGGAATCCAGACTTGTATGTTCAACTACCAACTCAGTGTCTCCATGTGGATATCTTATAGGCAAAGGTAAGATGCATATTAGTGAATATGTCAAACTCTTCATCTTCCCCACAAAACTCATTCTTCCCGATTGGTCAATGCTAGCTCCATTCTTCTGATAGAAAGCACTCAAAATTTTGGAAATGTTATTGGCTTCTCTCACTGATCGCCCTGCCTTATTATACCTAGCATCCAATCCATTGAACAAATTCTATTGTCTTTAACACCAAAATATAATCAGAAGCCAACCATTTCTAGCCACTGGTCACTGTCTTTTATTCTTCACAATATTATCACTAATAAATGCCTATATAAGTTTATAATTTATTGTTATGGTCTGTCTCCCCTCAGAAAATTAGAGTTTCATGAGGGGAAGGGCTTTCGTGTTTGTTTATTTGTTGTTTGTTGTTTGATTGCTTTATATCCAGCACTTAGAACAGTGCTTGGTACAGAGTAGGCAATCAATAAGTATTTGCTGCTGTTGAATGAGGGTCTAGAACCACCTTTTATTTTACCTGAATACTAGGTTCTTCTCCCGTCTCCACCATATCAGTAAGTGGCAACTCTATTCTAGTTGGCTCAAGCCAGGACCCTAGGAATTATTCTTGGTTCCTCTCTTTCTCTCACACTCCACATTTTGAAATCCTGACAATTGTATTTGCAAGCACACACACACACACACACACACACACACACACACACACCCCTCCAGAATCTGGCCGTCATCTCTTCTCCACTGTTTTCACCCAAGTTCAAGCCATTATTGTATTATTGCAGTGGCATCATTATTGGTTCCCTGCTTCTACTCTTGCTGCCCTAGAATCTGCTTTCCATACAGGATAAAAAAATTGCTTTAGAATTTATATCAAATCATAAGCATTCTTTAGTTTAAAACACTCTGAATCAGTTTTTCATCTCAGAACAAAGTCTAAATCATTTATGTAATCATTTATATAATATTCATAAATAATAT